ATATATATATGGTTGTATGGCCGTGAAGCATCACTGTCAGCACTGATGTTACTGTCTTTGATGATGATGGTGCTCTGAGAAACGAGACCAAACCAACAGATTCTAGCGAGGTTACTGGTTAAGTTGAACAGTTCGATTTCACGTAACACTGTGTCGTTCAGCTATAACACTCATTCAGCACCTTGCCACGGGGGCTGAGGTACTTTCATGTTTTCCAAGTTCGGACGGAAGCATTCTAATCATGGATCTTCCGTTCAGTAGATTCACCACCTGAACGACTGAGCTAGTTCGAGCTGGTAAGCTTCATACAGATTCTGGTTCAGTGTCAACTTACGTTCCCACCAGGTTTCAAACAATTCTGAACAACAATGCATTAGTGGACTAGATGACCGTCGGCGAGGAATGTATAGCATGTTTACAGCATTGTATTTGTTGATGAGACTCAGTCTGTTCGTGTTTGAATTGTGATTTTTTCTGTGCATTGTCCGATGCCCGTTGTCTGATTAAAAAGTGTTTATACAGAATGTTGTTATGACGTGGTTATCGGCGCTGATCGACTGCAATACTCCATCGAGTGACCGCAGTGAATTCCGTACACATTCTGCCCGAGCTTACATGCCTATATTAAACAAAGTCGAGGCGGTGGAAAGTACTAAGCATCACAGCGTGAATGGAATTGAGGGTGTGGAGCTAGCGAGCATATGGAAAGCGGTTTTAGATAAGCCGAGTTGACACGTGACGGTGTGGTTGTCAGTCCACTTAGGATCATTGGGAAATAACCGGGGGAGGGAGTGAAAACCCCAACCGACCAAAGGTCAGCATCCCTCTTGCACAGCTTTCTTAGTACTAGCTCGCCCACACAGACTGACAGAAGGTTCAAACTAAGTTCAAGAGGAACCATCAAATGAACCGAACCAGAAGAACTAGACCCTAGGCTGGACCCAAACACGTAGGTTTCCCCACCGACCCAACACTTGTTCAACCACCCTAACACACTGAAATCCCTCGGCCGACACCCAACAGAGATTTAGCCTGACTTAGCTTATTGGTTCTCCTTCCGCCTTAAATCTCAACCAACCTCGGAACATAGTCACTTGGCCTGACGAAGCTTTTGTGTCAAAAGCGAAAGGTTGCCCAGCAATAAATCTACCGATTGCCACCAAACTTTTTCGGAAATCGAAGACATGTTGTTTTAACCTCCCTCGGTTGTTTGGTCGAGCGCTTCCTGTGCACGACTTTGAGAATCCCAGGGTGCTGACCTTAGGTTTGAATTTGTCGTTTGCTTCGCAATCACTGAGGCCCAGTATAAATTCACAGTTCAGCTGGGTCTGAATGATGGTAGATTTCCGAGATTATCTCATGAAATGCGTACAGTTGTCGGCGTCGTAAACTTTCCCCTTTTGATCAACATGTAATAATAAATATGGGCGTTTTAATCAATTGTTCTTTGATCCCGAAATCAATATAGGTATTCCGCTCCGGAGGCTTTTATTGTTCCAGAAGTACGCCGCTAACGAAAAGATAACATATACTGTGAATTCTGATGCGTACACACTCAAAAAGGGTTTTCAAGGGAGGAAGTAACTGAAGTAACTCTGCTCCTAAAGCCTGTTTGGGGAAGGGTCACGTTGGACCCACAAACCACGAAGGTATGGTACTCCATCCTTAGCTACTTTCCAAGCAGATAAAATTGGAGGTCTCAAAGTTTATCAGAAACGATGTATGTGTAAAACTTAAATCTACTGCGTTCCACTTTGGCACTGACTCATGTCCGGCCAACCGTTTTAACCCAGCGAGCTATTTTGTCAGGATGCCAGCTCAGTGGTGTCCAGTGTGCGCCATCCTAGTTGGTGGACTTGGCTTAGGTGTTGGGGTCAGACACCCAATAAAGATCAGCTTCACTAAATCAGCAAGCCTACTGGACAAAGCCAATCTGTTTTCAAGACAGATGTGGCAGAATCCCAGAAGGCGCCGTCCTTTGAACCCGGCGTCTGCTCAGCAGCCGGTAAACAAAGTCTCACCATAAGGTTGACGGAAACTCGGGTACTGCGCCCACCTGATGAACCCCAAAAAGGGCGAAACCGGTCGTGGGCTGTCGAAGAATTTTCAGCAACCTTGTGAGTAGTTTCCTTCTATGGAAAAAGTCTCACCTCTTAAATCAACCTGTTTTCGTAGATTTGCTGACCGAAGTGGAGCACAGTCTCCTCATTCCAGTCATATCACGACGTGGGCTACCGTGCAGCCAACATCAGCTGACTCAGCACCGATGGTAACAACTTCCTGAATCACTTGATGTCGAATCCCTCCTCTGTGACAGACCAGAACGCCCATTTTGCATGATGTGACAAAGGTTGGTGTCAAGCAGTTTAGTTAATCAGGGAAACTGACGAACCATGTTCCACTTCTTACGCATATAATCGTACGGAAGTCACCCCGTTCATTAGATGATACGTCTACACAGGTTTTCCGTCCTATCCGTACAACTTTCTCTTTTGGTGGTATCTCTTGAACTGGGCTGTCAAAAGTGGTCGGTTTTAAAGGGCTTTTCCAACCGAAGGTGACTGCAGCGAGTAGGGTATGTATTACGCGTTCCAAACCCCCGTCTACTCAGACAAAAACCTCTATATCTGTTCCAAGTGGTTGGTGGAGGACAGGCCAAGATGATGACAACGAATAATGGAGGCGACCATAGACCAACTGATTACTGTGGGATCTTCGCTCCTTCCCAACTGGGTAACGCGTAATCCTTCTTACAGGTTGTTGAAAACCTTCCAGGAAAACGCTGTCACTTCCTAGCCGAACTGTCCGGCTAAAGTTCACCTGTGCTTGTGCGCTGGCCTCATGTTGGGTGATGTTTGCAAATAAAGTTAAACGAATCCTACTAAATTCGACTCCGGTGTTTTGATTTGAACGCCGTTCTAGGGGCACCTTACTCTTGATAGCTCGCCTCAAGGATATAGAGATTTTTTTCACTAAGTCTCTCTTGTTGTTCCGTCATGTCCGTTTATGGCAGTTAAGTGACCGCATGTTTTAGCTCTGTATTACTGTTGATGATGCTCACTGAAGGTGTTTCTATACACAGGTCTGATTTACTAATAAAATGCACATCTCCGAGGGTTTTACTGAATGCAATGCCATTCTAATTTTTATTATTATTGGACTCATGTTTGACAGACATCGGGTTTCCGTCTTCTTTCCTCACCCCCTTCTTTGTTCCACACGAGGAGCAAACTTGTTCCAAAATTTCATCTTTGTATCAGCCTCAATAAAAACAGCTCTTTCTATGTTTGCCCTAGACTCACTTATAGACAACGACAATGCGTAGTCAAGTGGCTTTTTACCCAACTAATCACTTTTCATTGAAAGCCACAGTGAGCTGGACTACGGAGCTGATTAGGTTGCTTGTGTTATTTGTATTTTGTGGGTACTATCTGTTAGAGGTGGCTATCTACAACTGCTCGTGTGCTCCGCTTTTATTTACCCAGCTCTGCAGGATCCAGCGCCTTCTACGAACCTGATTATATCGAAGGGGTCGAGTTCCGTAAACAAAGTTACACATTCGCGTCCCATTCCTCAGACTTTGAATGGCCCTAGTCGACCGAAATACGAATTGCCACCGTTACGAGATCCTCTTATTCGTCAGCGTCGGACATCAATAAACACCTTAGGCACTCCGAGAGCGACCACCTCGAACGTGCATTCCACAATCCCAAGCCATAGGAGTTCGAATCCCAGACCCGGTGTGACTTCACAACGTCGAATTAGTTCAGTCGCCACGGTTACAGTCAGACCACAAAATTGCAGACGCTCAAATGCACCTGCTCCAAGTAGTTTGACTACTCCAGGACCACGATTTCCAGGAATTGGACGCCGGTTGGGTGGTCTTTAATCCAGCGCCTGTAACGCATTCCGATTCATCCTTTTCGGTCGATGTGTCCGCCAGGACCACATTTACATTGGGCTTGTTATTCATTCCTATTATCTCATGTTCATTCAGATTTTTGCATACTTCGCAGTGTTTTCCGTCCTTATTTCACACTCGAACCAATTTTCGTAAACCCGGGACGGGCATTTGTGGTCTATTCTTCTGATATATGATCGGCAATTTTGTGACCTCGGGTACATTTAGGATCAAAATATACATTACATTGGAAAATGGCTTCTACGAGCGTTCTTTTGTTGCAGCTGGTATTTTGAAGTGTCGTGTTAAACTATGGCCCTTGATGGGGGGAGGGGCTGTAACTCGCTTTAAAGAGCACGATTGGATCGCGTTATCCTAATTGATCCGGTTGTAGCACCCTTTCGGTGCTTAGCTGCCATGCCGTTCGAAGGGCCGAAATGCAGAGTTCAGGTTCGAACTACAGACTCAGTAAGTTCGCGCCTTTACCACTAAGCTCTAAGGTCCCCTTCTTCCTCTGATGTCACACGCATATGAAGGCCACTTTTTTATAAGATCATTTTCTCTGGACAGTGACCACTCTTCTGGAGAGGCACAGCAGGTAATTGATCAGTGACACACCGTCAATTTCAGTTCACACTACCGACTTCTATCTAGTGCATACTATCCAGTTTGTGATGTTTCCATAACTCTAAACTACCCATTCGTGTAAACTGTATGGAACTGCATTTTCAAAGTGGAACTATGATCCTCCTGTCGCCCGCATGCATCGATAAACCTATATAGCATTGAATTCTACATTACTGTGGGATATTTATATACGTAGGCAGCGCTTCAGACGTTGTGTTCGATCATGATGGTGGGGCACTCCGCACTACGGTTTGTTCACTTTACTCTTGTCGTACGTTTTGTTATGGAACCGGGAGCTCAGCGTTTTCTATCCTAGCTGGAAAAGACTTCGTATCATAAGGTTGAAACGTGAATGTTCGGGATCAATGGCGTAGTGGAGGGTGAGTAAACCTGACCTTGACGTGGTGTCACGATGCTAACATGATATAACAACTTTTGAACAGCGGTTGACTGGGCTCTGGTGTTGATGACTTTAAGTCCTGGTGGACTATCGGCCGGCTACCGAGGCTCTCACAAAATGCGACATGGGTCGATTCACGACGTGGCTTCCGTTACACCATTATGGAATGGTTCAACATACAGCACATACTGGCCAGTGCTCACCGTCATCACAAGAGGGTCTGTGGTAACCATGGGGCTGTGCTGCTCTTTGGCCTCATTCTGAATATGCGATGAATAGATAAGCGAACTAGAACTCGCCAGCGAATGCCAGACATGGCAATGACCTGAAATGCGACGGCCTCTCACACTCCATCCTCCCTGTTACTCTGAAGTCCGCTCTTATCCGTCTGAAGGTTAGTGGCACATTGCCGAACAAAAGCTCGGTGATGCTGGAGACGTCGCCCATGGGTGGTGTGCTGTAGCGTGCTTTCGTCTCAATTACGCTGTCCTCCGTCGTTAATAGTTGTTCTGGATATCCTTGGAGCTGACTTATCACTAACTAGATGAGAAAGTCGCCGTGCATTAAAGTAGGTTGGGGAAACGCTCGTGCTGGAGGAGTCAAACAATACAACTGTTTCGGCTTTAATCAAAGTCGCACATTAGCAAACTGAAAAAAAACATGGCAAACTCGGTCTGCTAACTTGCAACCTCTAAAAAATTGCAACTGAATATTCGGACATCTCCGCAATGTCTTTAGAGGGTGCACAACTGACCGTTACCATGGCCGTCCGTACGCGAATCCTAAAAGCGACCAGCTGTTGTCGCCACATGATACCACGCTCTCAGACAGCGTTTTTCCCGAAACAGATAGTTTATCACTCAATAGCCGCTTTGAATTAAAGCCAATTTGCACTACGCCTTAGCTGGGTCTGTTTCCAGCGTCAGTATGACGTGAATGCTACACATTTTAGTGGTGAACTGGTATTTACCGGCAGTCTTAGCTGGGTCTGTCTCCAGTGAATGCTCTACATTTTTTAGTGGTGAACTGGTATTTACCGGCAGTAGTGTATTATGCGTGCCACAACTCTTTCTCGGCTTGTATGTTACGAGTTTTTGTCCATCTGGTATCGTGTCTCTCGTCTATCGGATGGTACTTGTAGGCTTATTCTCAAATTCCATACACGTGTGAGTTTGGAGGACCCTTGGAACTTTGTTTCATGGGCAACCGAGGTGCTGAAAAGACAACAAAATTTTCAAGTGTTTGACTTGCTAATAGGGCTTCAGAAGTGTCCAGACTGTTATCCGTGAAACAGACTCGAGATTTTTACTCGAACTTCCATCCAGGTCAAAAGAAACCACGTGGCTGACCATCTGTTGGACTGTTCTTCAGGGCGGCTTGAGTGTTGGCAACAAATTGCTATTTCAATATACTACTTATGAGTAGTTTACGTATAATTCGCAACATTGACCCTAAAGTACAATGCTCCACGATTCGAAACAGATTGATGATCACTAGTTTGGTTTTGCTTTTGAATCTTAACCGTGTGGTGCCTATATCTCTCCTGTACCACATCTTATAAATTTCTCCTGAACAATTTATACAGAATCGAATGGTCCCGGATATCCGGGATAGCTGTAAAACTAAGATACACTTGACGACGTTCTGGAAGACGTGCGGCATTTTTTCAACACAACTATGGTATGCACACAGACGAGCCTTATCGTCGCGTATGCGATTGTCTTGTTTTTAGGCATTCTGAATAAAAGTTGGAAGTTGAAATTCTGGTTTCTACTGGAATCAAGCCTTGATAAGTGCTAAAGATTTTTCGCAAGAGACTCTCAATGACCGCAGATGGTTGTTTTCGTCTTTCTAGTTATACATCACCAATGGTGTGCTGGTGCCGGTGTTCATCATTTTTTTCTACACAGTGGTAGAGCGACCAGTCCAACGACCGCAGATGTTTTCGTCTTTCTAGTTATACATCACCAATGGTGTGCTGGTGCCGGTGTTCATCATTTTTTTCTACACAGTGGTAGAGCGACCAGTCCAACGAGTGTGGGATGCCTGGTTCCTTTTGGCTACAATGTCTATCCGCACCTGCTAAGCTATATCAGGAGTTTTTAGTTTTGAATCATTTCTACGACAGTGTCAAATTATGCTACAGAATGAAACCTTTTCCCTCTGTAGGTGCCAGCCTTCTGATCAGCTGTCTCGCTAGGTTGCAAATTCCTGACGAAAAATCAGCCGTCCGAAGCACTCTGAATGTGGTCCTGTTCCGCCGAAACTGAAGCCCTAAACCACACAGGTGAGTCTGTTTTGGCTTATTCGTACCCCACGCCTAAATGAAGTGCACCAGTCAATGTGGCTCTCACGCTCTCTCCTTTCAGGTTCTACATTCATCGTATCCGCTCCCGGGAAAGTCATACTATTCGGGGAACACGCGGTTCTTTATGGTTATCCAGCTATTGCAGTCTCCATCGACCTTCGTTGTTACTTCTCAACCACGATTGCAAAGTGTGAATCGCGTGTACCGTCTATAGAGATAAGGTTTTGCAACCTGTCAAACATTCCAGTGGTAATCAACAATCCAGTTCAGCACATACCTTCACCACAACTCACTTCCAAACAACTGGTGTACAAAGCTTGGAAAATGGTGTCCACCGTCTCAGGGGAATCGAAGCTCTCCGCTGCCGCGACATCCCCAATGGCATCTAGTGCCTGTATATTTCACTATTTATTGTCACGCATTTTACAACGAACAACAAAGTGTCCAGGACCATTACTCCTCTCTAATCACACTGCGCGAATCGATGTGAATTCCGACATCCCTGTTCAGGCCGGTTTGGGTTCCTCGGCGGCCTTCTGTGTGTGTGCGACGGTAACACTACTTTCCCTATGCGGTCTGCTTCCTTTCGGGTCAACTCGGATGTTAACGTACAATGAACAGGAATTAGTCAAGTCCTTGGCGCACGAAGCGGAATCTATTGTTCACGGCACACCTTCCGGAATTGATACAGCTATTTGCGTTCAGGGCGGGGGAATCTGTTTCACTCGGAACGGAGACTCTACCACTATCACGAAGCTGTTTGCTCCACCTGGATTCATGCTGCATTTATTGATAGTGAACAGTAAGGTTAGTCGGTCGACTGCGGCTATCGCTCGCTCCGTGGCAGAAACTCGTGCATTCGAGGCCGACCGAGTAGACCAGATAATGAGGGACATTGGCGATGTTGTCCAGACGGCTTTGGACGTGTTTTCTGGTAGTCAACCGACTTCGATGCTTGGCCCACTGGTTTCGAAGAATCACCAGCTGCTTGTAAATCTTGGCGTTTCTTGTCCACAACTGGACACTATTGTCAGTGAGCTCAGCAGTTTGGGTCTAGCAGCAAAGATCACGGGTGCAGGTTGCGGTGGATGCGTCTTCGCTATTACGAACGAATCAGATCGGAATTCTACGGATCTGTTCCAGCAGGCTGTACGACGATTGCAAGCACGTGGATTCTGGGCGACTACGGTAGCTGCATTTTCCAGAGCTGTGCTCATACAGACCGATGGGGGTGAAGACATTCGCCAATCAATTTCGAACTCATGACATAGTCTGGCGTGTTCAGTCATTTCATCCTTTGATTTATCCCGTCACCAGCAACGTGATACTTTCTCACTGAGATTTTGTTGATACTATCTTCGAAAAAACTCGTCCCATAGTTTGCTTGCAAAGATTAGGATAGTGACAAGCAGGGATCCGTTCCTCGAGCCATTCGGATGCTTGCTTTCACAATGAGATAGTCTATGTAGTACACACTCACCGCGGTACTTAACTGTACACAATATCCATGCCTATGAACATGGTGTAAATGCAGATTCAAACTTGCTTCTAATCCGTCCCTTGTTTCTGATGTTCTTCAACCAAGGCCTGCCTCGGGGTTCAGTTGGACAGGTCTTAAAATTACGGAATACCGAATACTTGCGGAACTTAATGCCCGAACAGCCTGTGTGCTGAAGGTTCAGATGAACTACATTACAACCCGGAAATTCATTTGAACATATACCAAGTTGCCTACCTCATTAACCACGTAAATGTTTAGGCGTGGTTTAAAATTGGGGGTACCATGACTAACGAGACCGGTATCGGGCTGTTGGCGAACCTCGACTAGCAAGGAGGTTCACTCATGCTATTTTCTAACGTGTGGAGACCTATGTATTCAACCCATCTGCAGCACCTCGTCGCTTCTAAAGGGCATCACCGTGGTCTATTGCTGGTAGTTTATCACTTTAGGACAGCAAGTTCATTACCATTTCAATCAGTACTTTCTAGTGGTTCCTTGATACAGAGAAACCATAGCTAGTACGCATCCATAGTCACAACATGCAACTTTTGTGAGTAACTCAACCAAAAGCCACAGTACCATGAAGGTGAACGGATGTTATATGAAGGAACACTCCAACACCTCGGCGAGTAATAGCTCGCAATTCTAACATCTACCATTAGACCAGCACCATCTTGGACTGCTCAAGGGTAGGTCCATCAAGACCAAGGCAGACTCTTGTGTTTCGTGCCAAAGGCAGTGTCTGTTATTCTTGTGAACCTCCACTGCACCCTAAATCCTTCGCTAGGATTCCCAAGCAGTTTTTCAAGGACGAACTAAACCCATCCCAACGATGATCTGGGCTTATGAAATCGGGAGGTGAAAGTCCTCCTATGGATTTGTCCATGTCCCTCGGTATCCATAGTCCAGAACAGCAACCATCCGTACCAGCGCGTTACTATCGTGACAGTAGTCGAACTTCCGTTTATCCTGCTCTGACCCTGTTAGCATCGACCACAGCCACAAACTGCGGAGCAGCCAGGGTGATCAGAGCTGACAGAAATGTAACGGAATACCGCTTACTGTCAGCGACAGCATGAAAGCACCGTCACGTCAAAACCTGGGTGTGCAGATAAATCAAAAGCACCGACACGTCAAAACCTGGGTGTGCAGATAAATGAGGGATGACTCGGGTCGAGGACACTGCTCTGAAGAGGTGAAATCCACCGGCCAATCTAAAGTGAAATCCGTAAAACAACTTGTGGAAATCATTTGCTTGTTTTTCGAACCTATAAATCCAGCCTACTACAATGGTAGGCTGCAATGGAATTTAAACAAATAAGATAAGGATCAATTTGGCCGTACCTAAAGTTAAAAAGAGAAGTGAAAAAAATCAGTGAGAAAGGTAGGAAAATAGCATACGAAGGTAATCAGTTGTTCCTAAGATCCCTGAATGAAAATGTTGATGAGCGATTCAGCAGCTGGTCCGGGAGCTAGTTCACCCGCCTCGACCTTGCGTTCAATGGACGTCAACTGGCGACGGACCGCTGGATGCATTCGGAAGTGGTCCCATATGCCCTCTTTGATGTAGTTCCACATCCACACCTGTAACAGATGAATACAAATAAAATAGCAATGATCAAGACAATGGATCTCACTTTCCGCACGACGAAATTAGTACCCCTGAATACAGTTGCATACAGTTGAATTCACTTACCCTTCCTCCATAAGAAAATCTCGACAAGACATGTTCCATACAGAAACAACTTACGAAAGCAAAGCTTCTGAATGAAATGAAACCTTAAACAAGACAAGCCGCCAGAATACCCAGCTCCCCGAACAAAGAACTTAATTAAGCTCACTTTCAGCCAGTTGGGAATATTCTGTGGGGATGCAATCAGTTCAACAAGCACTGCTATTCTTGCTCGTCCGCTCTCTCAGTCATGGGACCATTTACACACGGCCTCATAGCCGACGGTACTTGTGTTTCGGTGACTGCTCCATACTATCGTGACAGGAATGAAGACCATACGCGCGCACAAATGTGTCGAGGCTACAGGCCATAAAATGACAACTGCGAGTCGCTTTATTGGAGAATGCCAGGATAGGCAAGTTAGGAATCAGCAAGCGCTCGGATTTTAGATTATGAGCTACAAATATACCAGAATAATTGTAGCTCAATGATGGTTGGTCAGATGTCCGTTGAAGATCAATAGCTTGCAAAGGTTTCTTCACCTTGATTGATGATGAAACGTTTGCAAGCTAATCCCCAAGCTCAGAACAGCGACCAGCTGATCAGCCACTAGAGATCATGAAATGTTGCCAACTGCATCTGGTAGAAAAAGTAAAGAGGAGCATGATCTCAGTTATCTTATGAATGGGTCATTGCTGACCAAACCTCGACTTCAAGCACTGCACACGGCTCTTTATCGGAAGACGAACCACCTAGAGTATTCTAAAGATTCCATGCAAATCAGCGGCAAAGATTCCCCCGACCAACAGCTTATCTCGTAAATTACTGGTCTGAATGTTATCTGAATTCGTGCGACTGACTAACATAATCAAAGTTTGATTGCGAAATTTAGAAGCCTCGTATAGCTTGCGCCCTCACTCGAACGACAAAAGTTCAGTCAATCAATTACTTTGTCAGGTATAGACCGTGTACCATACGCACACTGGTTCCAGCTGCTACAGTTTCGATCGCCGGAAAACGGGAATGTATGTAATACAACCAAGCCTTGGAGGCGATGGCATGTTCGGTTTGTTCGTAAATTGGGTAGCTAAGCATTGAAGGCGATAGCTTTGATGCCCGGGCGCCAATGACTGCGCGATTGGACCACTTCTGTCACTGTCATTAACCACTAGTGATTTGAGTTCCGGGGTCCCCATCCAGGGAGCCGCCAGTTGCCCACCCGACTAATTTTACCGGTTAGTTTCGCTGCCAGGTCATACACTGTCCACCTCTCCGTCTCTTCCACTCAGCACAGGGCTGGGATAAAAGAGCCTTTGAGGCAGACGGCATGCGGAGTACCTACTCCAGCCAGCACAGCCTGTGAAGTGTGAGGAATTCATCCATCTGTACAAGGCACAGGATGTCTGTTTAATCCTCATTGGTTAATGTTTTCACAGGGCAGACAGTGCTTATGGCTAGGCGTTCTTTTCACACAGCCCCAACCAATCAACTCATGACCCCCGACCTTGAAAGGAATCGGCTTCGTCTGAGAAGGTTATTGACCACAAGCGGATTGCTCGGAACAAAACCAGTAAGCCGTGAAATTGTCGTCCACTGGAATGTAACCATGCGAAATGCTATTACAGCGAAAATACGTCAGTGGTAATGCTAACGCCGTAACTTTGCGCCAGAAACACCGAGAGGTAGGCCTTAAGATTGTGTGTTATACTGCCCAATACGAGCAGTGTTCATGAGGGAGATATGTCCCTCTGGGTGACATAAATTGTGGCATACTGTTCGTTGCCGTCACAGCTTGACACCATGAGTCCTACTGGGTCCTAACACTTCCGCCCATAGTGTTCATTCACCGGTTCTCAGATTTCATCCCAATTGGACCTGGTTTGGCTGCTATCGTATTACCGAGTCGTCGTACCATTTGCAACTTCGTTATTGCCTTAGCCCATCTCTGGGCTAAAACATGCATAACGAGCACACCACGTGACCTCATTACGAATGCATTGATTTCTTATCACGGAAGCTGACAGGGGATTTCAGAACAAACCCGACCTTGACCTCAATAACACACAAGCTTGCAGATTTTGCAAAGTGCATATCATCCTGGCAAGATGCTCGCGAGATTTGCTCATTTCCATACCAACTGGGTTTTAACGGGAGCTGAATCTCTCGTTTATGATATTACTCAACTAGACGTGCTGCACGAGGGGCGCCAGTTGGTACGATTGTCGAAAGATATCGCAACATGTTTTCTCGAAGGAACACTACCCATAAGGATGCTGAAAACCTGCCGAAGAGAATTCAGCTAGCGTTTGCGTCTGTCACATGAGGAACGTTCAATGAACAAGGTACAGTGAAATCCTCAACGTTTACGCTACATAACACAAGCATTTCTATGGAGTGTGTGCTGCTGAGCATGTATCACGACAAAAGAGTAAAAACATTCAGTAAACTACGGCGAAGCAGGTGCAATTTTTTCCAGAGGAAAACATCGTTTGGCAATCAATGCAAAATCGACGTCATATTGACTATAATGTTGTTGTTGCTGGTAGATCAGGTGATGCTTCGGTTCTTCGATATGAAACTCCCCTAAATACCGCTTGATTTGAAAGGGAAACTTGAGATGCAAGTTACAATAGCCCGTCGGAAAAGACAAGTGAACGCCATAGTATTATGGGTGAACGCAGTAGAGAGAGGCAAATGGCCTGGTGTTCGCCTGTATTATGTGGGGTTATTAAGGGAAACGCCACTAAACCGATGAAGAGGCGTCCTTAAGACTGAATTCACAATGGAGTTGCCGGTTGATTGACTTGTAGCACAGCAATGACCTTTACACCGATGAGATCTGTATCGATCATGCGCACTAGCGAGAAGATTTCATTTGGTGTTCGATCGAGCTTTTACAAGTCAAAGCGGCAAGATCAATAGATGTGCTATAAGTCAGCGTCCGCTCCTGAGGAATCGTTAACCAACGAAACTAGAGAAGTCGCAAAGTAACTAAAACAGCGACAACGCCTCAACCCATTTGTAGAGTTGGCGCTTCCACCACAATTTCGCGAAGAATATTCATGTTCAAAAGAAAACGAAGACTTTGCACAATAAAAAGTAAATAAAATAATAGAAAAGATAATCGTTCGGCTGTAACACCCTTTCGGCGCCTAACTGCCATGCCACCAGGAGGAAGCACGAGGGTTGGGAAACTGCCAGGATGCCCAAACGAAGACGTGGGAAGTCGAGAGGCAGAGGTCGGGTTCGAACCGCGGACCTTCCGCGCTCTAACCACTGAGCAGAAGCCACCGTCGTACCTTTAAAATCTAACCCTTGTCAGGGAACTCATATAAATTGTAATAGTCCTAGGATGCCAGCCTGATTCAAACAGCGATCTACTGATTACCGTGCACGATCAAGTCAATTTCTTAATTGCAGTGTGCCCCTGATATTGGGACCAAGGTTGGCGAGCGACTTCAGTTTGTACAGCTTCTTTAACAAGCCACTGCGTGCTCAAGTGGTTAAAACCCCGAAGCAGAGAGGAAATGCAAGTAGAACGACCTAGAAGTCATCATCATCATCACTGTCAGCTGTAAGAACCGCGTACTCGTCGTACAC